AAGCTAGATATACGCCAAGCTTTCCACCGGATCCGAATGCACCCTGATTCGGAGGAATTAACTACTTTTCGTACTCGCTATGGAGCCTATAAGTGCAAAGTCTTGCCTTTCGGACTTACTAATGGACCTGCCACGTACTAGCGATATATGAACGATATATTGTTTGAGTATTTGGACGATTTTTGTACTGCGTACCTCGATGATATCCTTATTTACTCAGACAACCCCCTCGAGCACGAAGAGCATGTGAAAAAAGTACTACAACGACTTCAAGATGCCGGCTTACAAGCTGATCTCAAGAAGTGCGAATTTAATGTGACTCGTACAAAGTATCTAGGTTTCATTATTAGTACAGAAGGCATTTCTATAGACCCAGAGAAGACGAAAGTTATTGAGGAATGGAAGCGCCCTAGTACGGTTAAAGGCGTATAGTCATTCTTAGGCTTCTGCAACTTCTACCGCCGATTTATTAGGGAATATGGAAGGATTGCAGCTCCCTTGACTCAGCTTACGAAAGCGAACGTCCCCTTCCACTTTAATAGCGATTGTGAAGCTGCATTCGAAAAGCTTAAGCTACGGCTTATCACGGCACCGATTCTACAACACTACGACCTGCTCTTTAAACGTGGCTTGTATTGTCGGTGGTAGAGTGGCTGTCAAGTAAACAAACTGCATACGGACGTTGCGGATCAAGGCGAGGTCAACTATAGCCTGGCGATAGTCGGACGCTGTGATAGTCAAGTGAGCCTCGTCAAACACAATGCGGCCGAGGTCTTGCGTAGCCGCGAGCTTGTGGGCATAAGTCCGAAACTGTTCCGTACATGCTGCTTCAACTGTAACAAACACCAAGGGTGCATCTTGCTGCTCGCCAGGCGCCCACACCAAGTGATCGATCCCCAACTCTCGGACTCGGCGGAGGAGGTCCCCTCGCAGAGACACAAGGGGCAAGACTAAGATCGTTACCCTAGCATTAGGGAGGATACAGGGTAGTATGAATAGCAGGCTCTTCCCCTCGCTAATAGCCATGATAACCACTACTTGCTTAGTCCATAACATAACAGTAGTCACAGCCCGTTCCTGGGCTGCTGACCTCCATTGCAGCGTATCATCCTAGTACAGCTTTCTGGCGCTCTTTAGTAGAGCCATAGCTAACCACTTCTTCCGTGGCCGGTAGACCCCCATAGCGATCTTCTTAAGCATTTGCGGACCACTAATATCTTTACTATCCCGCTTCCTCTTCCTAGCAAGTCTAAGTAGCTAGTCAAGCCCCTACAAGTCCTTCCATAGAGTTAAAGCACGCAGATTCCGGCGGATAAGGCCATCCCACACGTTCCCAAAGTTAGCATTATACTAGTTTGCATATACCCGGTTGACAGTCCGCGTACTATGGTTCCGCTGCTTGGTCATAACCCGAATGTCAGCCTCAATCTCTTCGGCATCCTCGTCGTTAGCCCCGTCGTCAACCTTAAAGCACCTAATGTTAGCTGCAAACTTAGTTTTGACGATATTGACTGTCATCTGCCGCTAGTTGGCAATGTGTAGCCGGGGGATGCTGGCCCGACTACACGCCTGCTCCATGTACCGCGTGAGCCGGTTGTTAGCCCAGACCTTGCCGTCTTACCACTACAAGTACGGAGAGATAATAGCATGCGGGGCAGACCGGCGGAGGAAGACCTGGAGGAGCGGGATAACAACCACCAAGTAGTTCAGCAAGAGGTCTCCAACAGGTGCAGGCAAGAACCGGATATTATCCTTAAACTTGCCCGTCTGCTGCTGACCTTTGTGGTATGTAGTGTACAGCATAACCAGCCCGTGCTTGAGGTAGACGTTTCGCCGCCGCTGGGTGTTACGCCAGGTGACAGAGAACAGTTCACTCTCGCGCAAAGGCTGGCCAGAACCCATATAGATCAAGACTAAGAGCCTTTTTAGGAACTCGTTAGCCACAGCCTCATACCGTTCAATCGCCTTCCCCCGCCAGACCTTAGCGCCATCCGCGGTGGCATCCAGGAACGAGTCCCGCAACGGCTTCGAGTCTTGGATAACGGTTAGCAAAGACCTCGCCAGCGGCTTTACTAGCTCAACGTTCTCCCGGTGCTAGCTAAAGAACTAGCCAAAGGCATCGGCGTCCAAGTTGTCCTTTAAAGCCCAAGCACGCATCCGCGGGAGGTTCTGGGCCCCGAACATTAGCTCGTCGTAGAGTAGGTGCTAGGCCTGCTGGAAGTCGGAGAGTAAGAGCCGCGGCACGTGATCTATA